GATTACCATCAGCGATTTTTCCGGACCGATACGACTTAGGGACCTTCAAGAAAAGAGCCTACTCCTTTTTAAAAGGCCGGCAACGCATCTGCAATTTCCCTGGTGTTGCGGTTGTTCATGGGCGGCGGTAGTCACTTACCATCAGGTGAGCCGCATGCTCGTTTGCCCCCTCTCCTATAAAAAAAAACTTTCATCATTGTGCAAGATATTCATTCCGCAAGTCATTTGCATAACTGGTTATACTGCGTGGGGCATGAAGTATATTCCGGTGATCAGATCTGCAGGCAGCCGTAATTCTGTTCCAAAGTTTGCAAAAGCAGGTGTCACTAATGTACTCTCGTGAACAACGCTTCGATATGACAACAAAAACGGTTGTATGTGCTTGTCCCAGTCTCGTTGCCGATTTTACACAACTTTTGCTAGGTAAATCGTTATAACATGCCATCAGATTGCAAAATGGGGTGGTAAGAATTTGTTCTTGTTTAATTAGTACCCATAACTCGGAAAGTTTCCTAGAGTATTTGAAACTCAAAATTTCTTTCTTGATCGATGTGAATCTCTAGAGGTACTCCAAAAAGACAGAAGACTTCTTGAACTAGTTTATCTGCAACTATTGAAGCTTTTTGATTTGGAATGGCGAATACTTCTGGGTCACATACTAAGTGAAGTAATCCATCGCAACCATGAAATACTTGTTGCCACTTTCACTTTCCGGAAACGGCCCGCAACGTCAACGGCTATCCTCTCCCATGGTGCACCAACATTGTACAATTTCAATGTACCTCTATTACGAGTCTGAGGTTCCTTTACAGCCGCACAATTCGTACATTTGCTACAGCAGTCCTCGACATTGCCATGACAGTGGACCCAGTAAAACGGTTCTCGGATCTTCAGTAGAGTTCGTTTAACTCCCAGATGGCCTACGGAACAACCATCATGGTACAGCTTAAGAACATACGGTACTTTAGTTTTAGTGACAACCATTTGCAAATGACAGCTGTTTCCCCGACCATTTTCCCATTTACGGCACAGGACTCCGTCCTGAATCAGCAAGCTGTACTATTTGGCCCAATAGCTTTTCGTGGTCAAACTCATCGTTGAGACGTCACTCCACTTGGGCTTAGGAGCACTGGCCTTCATTCATTCAACAATCAGCTTGATGTCCGAATATTCCTGCTGTGCATGTGCATCCTCACAGATACCACTTTCTTACCCTCTCGAGATCGATCACCTTCCCTTTCTACAGTTCGCTTAGGGCACCTAGATCGAAGATGGCCTCTTTCCCCGTAGCACCTAGGGCTGTATCCTTTATTGCGGTCGCGAACTGTAGCTGCTGCAACCTCCCTGACACGATGGGAATGATGGTCCTGCCGCACGGTTTCTACCTCCAGTGCATGAGCCAAGGCGTCCTTAGGCGTCTCGTGGTGCTTGAGCCTCATAGCAGCTCTGCGTTCAAGTTCGCGGATACCGTCGATGCTGTCTGCCAGGGAAGGGAACCCCTTCAAGGCGTAGACTGCTATGCTTTACGAACCAGCTTCTCCACCTCAAGGACCCACTGCTGCAGGTTTTCTTTGCAACGTTGCTCGCGATCTTTGAGCTGCGCATGAAAGGCGTATTCCAGGTGAGCGTCACCATATCTACCTCCAATGCCTCAAGGAGCTGCTCGTAAGTCACTTCCTTACCGAGAGCTTCCCAAACAGTTAAAGCCTGTTTGCGCAATCCTAGGGTTAGAGCGCTCATGGCCTGACTTTTATTCTAGCCGTTCGCCTTCATGACAGCCTTGAACTGGATTTTGTAGGCCGACAAGAAAGAAGTCCCGTCGAACGGTGGCACTTTGAATCTATGTAGCGAAGGTGTTATAGCTACCACGGGAGCTGTAATTACATCCCCAAGTTTGAGGTTATCCAACGTTTTCTTCACATCAGCCATAACGTTGTCAACCCGATAGTTCACTTGGTCGATTCGGTTTTCAGCTTCCGACATGCGGTTGTCATGTTGAAAACCCTATCCTTCACCTCCCTTATCTCTTTCCCGAAGGTAGCATGAAGGTCTTTCATGAAGATTCCTTATCACGTTTGAGCTGATCTTTCAAGCGACGGGCCTGTTCCACCTGTCCACGCTGCAGCTGCTCTTTTAACCGACGGGCCTGTTCCTCCTGTCGGTAGGCCTGTTCCTCCTGTCATCATCCTCCATCATCATCGGAGCACCTAAGGCAGGTGCTGCAGATGCAGGAGCTGCTGACGGGCCGGCCTCCGTGGTCGGCAGCTGGCTCTCCGACGTCTGCGGCCTTGCACCACTAAATCGTCTCTGGGACGGATCCTGCTGGAGTTGGCTTTGGGTACGGATACCCTCCGTGTCGGCCTTAGGTGAAATCGGCATGATTGAATCCCACTTCTGACACCAATTGTTATGGTTCTTGGTTTGGGGTTCGAGGCAGTTAAAAACTGCCGATTGAATTACTAAAATTGACACTTTAATTACAGAATTCAACACTGTCCCGGGTCACGGTCTATACCGGCCTTATATGGGGCCTCAGATAGTTCTAGAACCTTCTAATGTAGAAGCATTTAGAATGTTCGAGTACATACCGGTCCCGACTGACTAGGCGTCGATAATTCTAGAAAGTTCTTCCATGGAAATTTCTAGAAGGCTCTTGACACTCCTAGTTTTGTTACTCGATACTAGAAGGGGCTAGTGGTAACTAGTGTCTCCATGTCATCATCATCATCATCATTACAGCCTTTCACAAGTCCACTGCTGAACATAGGCCTCCCCCAAAGAATGCCACAAAGCACGGTCCTGAGCCACCTGCATCCATCGACTTCCTGCATATCTTACCAGGTCGTCACTCCATCTAGTGGGGGGACGCCCTACACTTCGCCTGCCGGTACGAGGCTGCCACTCGAGAACCTTTCTTCCCCATCGGTTGTCGGTTCTTCGAGCTATATGGCCGGCCCATTGCCACTTCAGCTTACTAATCCGTTGGGCTATGTCGGTCACTCTAGTTCTACTGCGGATATCCTCATTTCTGAGTTTATCACGCAGAGAAACTCCGAGCATAGCCCTCTCCATAGCTCGCTGAGCGACCTTGAGCTTCCTCATCCGGCCAGCAGTGAAGGACCACGTCTCAGTTCCGTATGTCATCACTGGCAACACGCACTGGGTGTACAGTCTCGTTTTCAAGTTTTGAGGTATACCTGACGAGAAGATGTGCCGTAATTTCCCGAACGCTGCCCAACCGAGTTGAATCCGTCGATTGACCTCTCGGTCGAAGTTGGACTTACCTAGTCGGACTATTTGTTTAATGTCCATGTCACACCTATGCCGGTAGTTGTTGGGAACACTAAGCTCGAAGTTGTTGAAGAGTGTCTCCATGTACCAAGCATTAATTGTGGCATGCAACAATATTAAAATTTGAAGATTAAAAAAAATCGTTATTAATAATACACCGTGTTAAAAGTGGGTGCATTCAAGGCATACCTACTTAAGTCCACTGCTAAACATAGCCTCCCCATAGATTACATCATATCACATGTTATTATCAGGGATCTTCCTAATCAATACGTAAAAATAATCTGCTTTTCATCTCTTGCTTCAGTTTCCCTCTGTTTCATTCCTTCCATTCCTTTTTGTATATAACGACACCCACGTGGTGAGTATCCATTTTTTTAAATTAAAACGACATTCAAACTTACAGTTCACCTGATGATAAGTGCAGCCCGTAAACATCTGTGACCAACATCAAGCAAAGAAGGTTCCAGATGCGTTGTCATTGTGTTTGTTGTTTAGCAGTTATTACGAAGGTGCCCATCTCCTGGTTCAGTTTTTTACTGTTGAGACACCTTTTTTTAACACCCTTATTACATGGAGTAATGGATATCCTTACACCGCCACTTCACTGTCAATTAGACGGTTAATTCAAGTTTTATAACAATTAAAAATTGGTTTTTATATCAATTTAATTTTCCTATTTTACCACTTCTTTGTATTTGCGCTGCTAACTCGTAACTGTTATCTTTACTCATGTTGTAAGCGCTCGTTTTGGATACTAGCCAGATCGCAATTACTGTCCTTCGCAATTTTTGGCCTTATTATATTTACATATAAGTAGGTATATTATAACTTTGTGTTATTCTGTTTTGTGTACTTAAGTCAGAGTTTAGTGGAAGAAGATGTGTTAAGGCATTGGGTCCACCCTTTGTTACCCTTTGTAAAGGTTTAAGCAGTAAAGCGTAAATAAATGAGACAAGTAAATAATTTCATTAAAAATATTAATATTCCATCAACACGCGTTAGTATTGCGACACGAGAAGACTCTCACTGCTCTATCTTAGAAATAAGAGTAGGCTTGGACCCATTGTTATTATTTAAACTTCTTTAAAATGATTTTGTCGATGGATAATATAAAACGAATTAATTTTTTCATGACTGATGGAAAACAATATTAATATTAGATTGCAATAGACTGCTAATAACAATAATAATAATAATGAGAGTGATCAGAAGAGGCTCTATGAATCATTGGAGCGACCAATGGTAAGTGGAACGGGCCCAGCACCGAATCAGGCCAGCACTATCGCATTCTGGCGCGGCCTGTGGTCAGAGCCCGTAAACCACAGTGAGGGCCCTTGGACGGAAGTTGTGGCGAGTCAGTGTGCGAATGTTACGCCCATGGACCCCGTCATCATTACGCCGGATGACGTAGCTGAGGCGGTCCGTAGGGCCCCGAACTGGAAAAGTCCGGGACTCGACGGACTGCATCACTACTGGCTGAAGGGGTTCGTGGTGTGTCACGCTGTTCTCGACAGTTTCAAGAGGCTCTCGACCAAAAGTCGCTCCCGAGCCTCTTCACTACTGGGATCACTCATTTGTTTCCTAAAGACCGAGATCACACAGACCCGAGCAAATAGCGCCCCATAACGTGTCTACCTACCATATACAAGACACTGACATCCATTTTGAGCGCGAGAATCACTCGTCACCTGAACTCAAATCAGGTGATGTCACGCGCTCAAAATGGATGTCGGGGCGGCGGTCGTGGAACCAAGGAACCACTCCTCATTGACGCGGTCATTGGCAAGGTGGTTAAACGCAACCGTAGGAACCTCTCCGCCGCCTGGATAGACTACAAAAAGGCATTCGACTCGGTGCCTCATACATGGCTGAAGAGGGTCCTCGAGCTGTACAAGGTTGACTGTACAGTTCGAGACTTCCTCGGGCAGTGTATGGGGCAGTGGAGTACGATCCTTTGTCATCTAGGCGAGCGGATGACGGCTGCGGAGAACCACATAAGGATAAGAAGGGGTATCTTCCAGGGCGATTGTCTGAGTCCAATCTGGTTCTGCCTCTCTCTGAACCCTCTTAGTACCTTACTGGAGGGTTCCAGGAGGGGATTTCAGCTTCGGAGAGGAGGTAAAAAAGTGACCCACCTTTTCTATATGGATGATCTCAAGTTATTTGCCTCCAGTCGCTCTCATCTTATGGAATTGCTAAACATCACTTGTGATTTTAGCAATTCTATTAGAATGGAGCTGGGGACGGATAAGTGTGCGGTCCTCCATGTCGAAAGGGGTAGGGTTGCTAACTCTGAGGGCATAGACTTATCTATGCCCATCAAGATAAAGACCCTATCCGAGGCTGAAACATACCGATACCTGGGTATGTCACAGAACATAGGTATCGATGAGGCGGACATGAAACGGTCAGTTTGCGGTGTGTTTTATGCACGCTTGACAAAAGTGCTTAACAGTCTTTTGTCGGGCGTTAATAAGACACATGCATATAACGGTTGGATCATGCCTGTTCTCATGTATACCTTTGGCATGCTCAGGTGGACTCAGACCGAACTGAACGCTCTGGAAAAGTCCGCACTATAATGATGTCCCACAGGATTCATCATCCGAGATCGTCAGTAATGAGGCTGTACTTGCCGCGGAACCATGGTGGGCGCGGCTTTTTAAGCGCGCTTACCATGCATAATCGCGAAGTGTGCAGCCTCCGTAATTACTTTCTGACGAGAGCGGATGATCCATTCTATAGGGACGTTATTTCTTGTGATAAAGGACTTACCCCTCTATCCTTAGCCAACGAGCAATGGCAAGACGCGGCAGTACAGAGCATTTCCGACCGGGAGACCGTATGGAAGGAGAAGGAGCTCGACGGGAGGTTCTACAAGGCTCTACATGAGCCTTGCGTAGACACAGTCGCCTCCCTCCACTGGCTACGTTTCGGTGACCTCTTTGGGGAAACCGAGGGTTTTGTCTGTGCGATACAGGATCAGGTTATTAAGACCAACAATTATCGGAAATACATCCTAAAGGATGGCGCCGTCGACATCTGTCGAGCTTGTCGCCATCCCGGTGAGTCACTTAGGCATGTCATCTCCGGTTGTTCGACGCTTTCTAACTCTGAGTATTTGCACAGACACAACCTAGTAGCCAGGATTCTACACCAGGAGCTCGCTCTGAAATACGGTCTCGTGGATCGGAAACTGCCATATTATAATTACTTGCCGGAAGCCGTGCTCGAAAATGACCCCGCCAGGCTCTACTGGGACCGGGCCATCATCACGGACAGGACTATTCTTGCGAATAAGCCTGATATTGTGCTGATGGACCGGGCACAGTCAAGGATATTTTTGGTCGACATTACCATTCCTTATGACGAGAACCTCGTGAAAGCCGAAACAGATAAGTTGACAAAATATCTGGACCTGGCTCACGAGGTGACCGACATGTGGGGTAATCTGTCGGCCGAAATTATTCCTGTGGTCGTCTCTGCGAACGGGTTAATCCCAGTCAGCCTCTCGGGTCATCTGAGGCGACTGGGACTCCGGGACGGATCGCTCCAAGCTCAAATGCAGAAGGCGGTGCTCCTCGATACCGCCCGCATCGTCCGCCGGTTTCTTTCCCTTTCTCCCTAACCCTCGGCCGTTTGGTCTCCCCTGCCGAGGGCTTCCATCTGGTTGGGTTTTTATATATTTATGTAATTTTTATGTATTTATTTTATTTTATTGATATTTATGTAAGTTTATCATTTTCATTTACAATTATATATTTATACAGCCCAACCAGATGAGAAAACTATACAAATACCCCATAATAATGATAAAATGACGTAGATAAAATGGCATAGGAAATTGACGACCCCATCGCCCGCTGATGTAACAGTTAAGTGACAAAACTACAACGTCGGCGCAGTCGGTCAGCACCTTGCCAAGCGGTGTAAGCGCCGTGCCTCGGCAAAATTGAGGGTGCAAAAGCACGTTTCTGCATATGGCTCCATCATGAAACGGCGCCGGGTCTGGGCGTCTCCCGTTAACTGATGCCCAATTTATGGATGACGGAAATGAATAGACTGCACGACCACCTCGGACTCGGCAAGCGGCATCCGCCGCTGGTGGAGTACGCCGCATGCGTTGGACGAAGTAAATGAATACAAACGTATTGCGGGCGTATTTTAGGGCGAAAGGGGAAGAAATTGGAGGTTTTGCGTAGCGGGCTAGGATGCATCGACTATTTGCTGAGCTGGAGACGTCTATTACCGTTACCGACCAAAACCTGGCAGACCGAGCTCGGTACATCATGCGCTCAAAAATATTTGATGACGCCGAACTCGAACGTCTACGACGTGAGGCTGTTCCTTCATCCAATGAAATACTACGACAGGTGATGCGGCTCTACGAGTTGCAGAGCAACCCGCACACGTAGATGCCACCGCAGATCTCCTTGTGGATGACTCAGGCGACGATGGAATAGTTGCCCAGGAACAAGAGCAAATGAGGAGCGTATTGGAAGAGGCAATTAGGGAAACGCGCAGTTCGCCTCTCGAGAATCGGCCGCGACTTCCCCGTATACCCCTAAGCAAGCGGAATCGGGCTGTCGTAAGGGCTCTCAACCCAATGCCGGTGACCTATTTGGAAGCCAGCCGGGACGTTTGCGACACGGACTCAAATCTTTTTGGCGCCGCACTGGCAGTTTTCCGTATTATTGGCGCCAAACTTCTCACGGCTCGACGCGCTAGACACAGTAGCGCCATCCTAGCCTGGAGAAGAAGGATTGAGGACCGTATCGCAAAGGCAAGGGCCGTCATCGGCAGACTGATAAGCTTCAGGTCGGGCAATAATAGGCCGAGAATTGTGCGCACCGTCATGATGGCGTTTGCTGGGACAAACATCAGTTTGTACCAGCCGGATATAACGCAAAAACGACGACTAGACTGTGTGTGTGTGTGTGTGTGTGTGTGTGTGTGTGTGTGTGTGTGTGTGTGTGTGTTTGTGAAAATGCACTAGCCATATGAATGAAGTACATTCTACTATAATGTGGATATTCTGTTTAACTTTGTCTAGTAAAGTTTCTGTTTGCTCATACTTTTTCGTTTCTAACCATTTTTGCAAAAGCCTTTTACTTTTTCCCTTTTCTGCGTTCTCTTTAACCTTCTTTCAGGAATTACCAGTAAAAACGACGGCAGTGTCATCTGCGTAGGAGAATATCTTAGCGTTCTTGATTGTCATGTTACACAGATCATTTAAATATTATATTAAGAAAGGTGTGGGTCCAAGAACACTTCCTTGAGGTACACCGAACGACACGTTTGTGCTCTCATTGATATAATCTCCAAATTTGATCATCTGCTTCCTATCTGTGAAATAGTCACTAAACAGTCGAATTGGGGTTCCTCTAATACCGATCCGTTCCAGTTTGTGTATAAGGATAAGAAGAGAAATAGTATCAAATGTCTTTTGCAAAACTAAAAATGCTGTCATCTGGGGGCACGGCAGTGCCCCCGTCAAATCGAGCAAAAGAGCGGCACGGCCGTACCATCCTTTTCTCGAAGCAGTTCAAGCCATTTTCGAAACCCTATAACTTCGTTGTGAATAAAACTAGAAGCCTAAATTTTCAGTAACCAGGTAGGCATTGTATACACTCGGTATATTTCAAATTTTACTTAATTTGAACTAGTAATTTAACAATTATAACTAGTCAAATTTTCTTAATTTTGTCACTCACTGGATGATCGATCTTCAAAAGTCTAAGGCACTTCTAGCAGACATAGAAGCTTCAAATTTGGAATACAACTATTGTTTAGTATACAAATTAAGGAAAAAATAAAATATTTTGCGATTTCGGTCCAGTTTTCGAGATACAGTAACTGCATAAATAACTTTGTAATCCTATATAAATATATAGGATTATAAAGTTACATTTGCAGTAAATGAAACAGTGTACTTATATATGTATAATATAATGGAATAATAGGTGTAGATAGGTACCTATATATAACTATCTACAAAAAGGAATGAGATGCCATCAAAAACATAACTTGTAAAAAAAACCAAGTCTCGCAACTCAGTTCTTCTACCGTAAAAAGTTGTGAGATCCATGTAATATCAAGTCGGTTAATTTATTCAGTTCCTACTTAAAGTCTTTGTGTCTTAAGATATTACGTAATAAGCTAACCTAACAACATCTTATAGTGACCATATGAATATTAAAAATCTTTTATGATTTAAATAAATTAATGGACTTGGCAAGCGCACTAAATAATCTAATTTAATATAATATGTATTACTTGAGAGATACATTGTGTTTTCATGCGATGGCTAAGTCAATCTATTTATTTAAAATATAAAAGATTTTCAGTATTGATATGGTCACTATAAGATATTGTTAGGTTAGCTAATGACGTAGTAACTTAAGACAGAAGGACCCTTAAGTAGAAACTGAATAAATTAACTGACTTGATATTACATGGATCTCACAACTTTTTACGGTAGAAGAACTGAGTTGCGAGACTTGTTTTTTTTTACAAGTTATGTTTTTGATGGCATACATTTATTATGGTTATCCCTTTCTTTAACTACCAACGAACTTAGTGCACAAACCACGTCTTCGGTTGATGTTCCTTGTCTAAATCCAAACTGAGAAGTAGATAGTATATAATATCTGTTTAAATACGCCATTAGTCTAGAGTTTAATAGTTTTAGGAGAATTTTGGAGATCCCTGGTAATACAGATATAGGCCTGTAGTTGCTCACATCGTATTTGTCGCCAGTCTTGTAAATAGGGGTGATAATAGATTGTTTTAAGGGAGCAGGAAATATTCCTTCTTCAAAGCAAAGATTCGTGAGATGGGTAACGATGGGAATGATTTCAGTATTTGCATATTTTAGAAAAGTAGTTGGGATATTATCCCATCCCGGGGTACTTGCTGACTTAAGGTTCATCAAGATACTACTGATTTCATCATGATTAGCGTGTATAAGACCGAAGGAATTTGGCTGAGATGGTAAGTTATGTAGATAGGTATTCGCGTCATTTACTTCAGGATTTACTTGTTCAACAAGCTGTTTACCTATATTAGCAAAGTAGTTATTTACGGAATTTGCAGATGCACTATAGTCCTCATTAATGCAGAGTAACTCTTTATTCAAGTTATTATTAGTTTTATTAGTATATGTCATATTTTTATATAATTCCACAATTGTTTGTTATTTTTTACTGATTTAGCTAGTAAGTCTGTAGTGTAGTAAGTTGTTACAATAGTTCCTCTATCGTCGGTAAATTACTAAGTTTTTATCATTAGAAGGGTCACTTCGCGCTTTTTCTTGTAACTTATTACGGTTTTTGATGCATCGTAAAATACCGGGTGTTATCCACGGTTTCAAAATACGATAGTTTTTAGGTATATTTGTTACTATCGTGTGTTTTGTCAGGGAGTCTGTTATTTCATGTATTAATTTTTGGGTTACCAACGTAGGATCATCACATAATAATAACTCTTCTATGTTTTTAGTTTTAAGGTAATTTAGAGCTTTATCAAAGTCAATGGAAGTTTTTGTTTTTATTGTCTAATGCTTAGGTTTAATCTTAGATAC